CAACCCTTTCCCCAACTGCTTGTCCCTGGGTTTTTTTTTTTTTTTTTTTTGGAGGGGTTGTTGAGACAAAGTCTATAGCCAAGGCCAGCCTCAAACTCCCACCTGCCTCAGTGTCGCAGCTGGGATTACTGCTCCCCCCTCACTGAAGGGTTTTGAACTTGGGAGTGTGAGGTGCTGGGAGGCCTGATCAGCTTTATGTCCTGAGAGGACAGTCCAGGCTACAGAGGTTGGCTGGAGAGGTGGGGTGGCTCCTGAGTGCTGCCCTCAGGGCATTTTTGCCAACTGTCCATGTTTCAAGGTGGTGAAGGCAGCGAAGAAGGATGGAGAAGAGGACTGAAAACTGGGTTTGGAGGTACAGCAGATGGGCCCCATGGCTGGCCGTATGCAGAGTGGAGGCCAGCGGAGGGAGCGGGCATTTGCCTTGGGCTGCCTGCCACCCTGTAACAGCAAGACAGAGGTTGAGGCGAAGCCGGGCCGCATGCAGGCCGTTTGCGGGTGAGCTCTGGGCTGTGTCGCGGCAGCTGAAGCACAGGAAAGGGACTGGGCTGGAGACGTGAGGGACGATGGGGGCGAGGACAAGATGCCGTTGCAGAGCCACCACCAGGAAGCAGGGTGGAGGTGGAAGGGCCCAGAGACTGAGGCCCACCCCAGGACCCACTCCACCTCACTGCACTGGCCGTCGCCCTAGGCCACAGCCTCCCTGGCCTGCCCTGCCCCTCTGAGTCTCCATACTCGCTCCTCCTCCGAGTTCTACAGCTCCAGGAGGATGAGGGAGGACGGGGAAGGCAGGCAGCAAGTTAAGGAGTGGGGTCCGAGCACCTCTGCTGCTCTCTGTCCTCACCCGACTACGACAGTGAGTGTGCCTTTGTGTCCTCAGCCACGGTAACTCCCTCGTTGCCGATGGAGTCTTGGGGAGCCTTCTGCATGCAGGCTCCAGGGGGCTCTGAGCATGGAGGGGCCCACTGGGTGCTCCCCTACCTGCTCCACGCACAGCGCAGAGAGGCTGTGGGCCTCCTCTCCTTCCAAGCTAGTAATCAGGGCTGCCCAGCGTCTAGCCGAGGGGACTTGTGGCTCCTGCCTGCAGGCCCAGTGTGCCCCTGACAGCCAGAACACACCACGGGAGCCCTGCAGAACAAGGGCCGTCCCCGCTGCTCAGCCAGACGGCCCTGCCGCCAGCACCCAGGGAAGCAACCGCCACTGCTGCAGGAGGGCTGCCTGGCAGGCTGTCCGTGCACCCAGATGCGCCACGGTTGCGTCAGCCAAGGACCAGGCTGGCTGCTGCCAACAGGCTGTCCCATCCTGCTTTCTCCCTGGGGGCAAAGGCTGGGCTGCATCCACCACTGCCTGGAGGGCACCCAGTGAGGGGGACCAGTGGGCTCACTTACCCAGCCCTGGGGCCCCTGACCCTGAGCTGCTAGACAGCAGGAGCTTAGCCTCCTCGCGGAAGCAGGCCAGCGCTAGCACAGAGCTTAGGCTGCCCCAGCGCTCAGTGAGGACACGGTAAACCCAGGACCGCACTGCCATTTGTGTGTGCCTCCACCTCCCCACCGGCCCCTGCTCGGCCTGACAGCCAGGCCAGCGTCTTTCCTTCTACCTGGTACAGGCTTTGTGCCACCCACCGCCCCTCTGTCCACTACCTACCCCCTCCTCAGGACTGCCACTCCGGCCCCAGCACTGCAGGGCAGACAGAGGTTACCTTCCTGGAGCCCCCTGACCCCTCCCACATCTTCCAGGTCACCAGCCGACTGTGTGCTCTGAAGGGACCAAGCGGCCACTGGGTCCAGGATAGGACAGCATCTAGTCTCACTGGCGGAGTTCCCCAAAGGAAGGGACTGAAGACCTCTCTAAACCGGTCATTACTGACAACAACCCCCAGTAACAAAACCCCACGCTAACTGCCAAGTCTCCCCTAAAGAACAGGTACAGGGGCCAGCTGGTGGCGTCGTACAGGAGGCTGGATCCCACATGGCTGAGTATGTGGTTCAAATCCTGGACTCAGCAGCTTGAAAAACATGCTGGGCACTTGTGCTTGAGTGCCCTAAATCCCGAGTGGAATGGAGGAGAAGGGACTGCAGCGTGGCTATGCCCCCCTCCCCCCACGAGCCCATGAACCCTATAGCAAAAATCTATCAAAAACAAAACAAAACACCAGATACAGACTTATTCATTTCTTTGAGCTTTAGTTTCCTCATCTGTAAAATGAGAGAGCAGGGCGGATTTCGGGTGCCCTCCAGCCAGCCCGGCCGCAGCAGCCATGCACTGCCATTCTCTCCACACCAGGGCCAGCCATCGCAGCCTTGGGGCCATGAATAATTTATGCTCATCTAGTTCTTTAATTTGCCACGGTCTTCCCGTGTCTATTCTTGTCCTGACAACAGCACGAAGAACACAGGCATGAAATAACCTCTTCCCTTTACAGCTTCAACAAGAAGCAGCCTCTGGGGCCTCGCGCTCCAGAGCCCGCCCTGCCCTGCTGCAACCACTCCAGGAGCCTTCTGCCCTTGGTAGGAAGCGGCGGGAGGCGGGACGGCGGTTTCCTGGTAGCCAGTCAGCGCCGGATTCCTCCAGCCCAGGTGAGGGATGGGCTCTGGGCAGCCTCACCCACCGCACACTACCCGCCCGGCTTCCACGCCAAGGCTTCCCTGCTCCTACCATGAGACACCACCAGGGGGCGGGCCGGCAGAGCCACTGGCGACTGCCTTCAAACCGTAGGGGGAGGGTTTCCCAGGGTCCCCCTCCTGGCTTTACCCTAGTGGGAGTCACAGCCGCAGTTTGAATTAGCTGTGCTTTTCTTCCAAACAGCATCCTCATTTTTTTCAGGAATGAACCACAGCTCAGTGTAGAAACCAAGTCAGGGACCAGGAGGGGTGGCACGGCAGTAACATAACTGGACCCACATGGGAAGGTCCTAGGTTCATGTCCCGGGACCTCCCTGAGGACCTGTGTCTTTGATCTGACCTGAGATGGGGGGTTGATGGCATCCTGTTGAGGATGCTGTCTCTGAAGAAGTAAACTCTTTAAAAAATCGAGTCCATGGACTCGTATCAGACCCTGGGTTAGTTCCTGTCTGCCCCTAGGATGCCTGAGAAACTGTCAGGGTTGGAGACAGCCATGTAGGTGCCCCAGCCCAGGGTGTGCAGGTGGGGGCACTGGTGGCCGCCCTGGGAAGAATGCCAGCCCAACCCATGCTGCGGCCTGCGGGCTCTGGCTCTTGCTCTGGCTCTTGCAGGTTCCGTGGAGCCGTATCTTCCTTATCTGGCATGTGTCCCTCCCGGGAGGGCAGCAAAAGCCATCTAGCAGGGCAGGGCACCTTTTTCCCAGGCCTTGCCTCCACTGGGTGTTCAATGTCCACCACCACGTGGCCTGGGACAGCCCACCAGGGCCAGGCCACTGGAGGAAAGGGCAGGGATGGCCAGGGGAATGGAAGGTGCTGCCAGTGGGTCAATGGCCACAAGGTTACAAAGCCAAATGTCTGCCTCGAGGCCACTGGGTCGCATTGGGCAACCTGGCCAGCCAGAGGCACTGTGATGACAGTCTGAGACAGCAGCCCACAAGGGGAAAGGTCAGGCCAAGGCCACCTGGTTGGGGGACGGCCAATGGGTAGAGTGAGAGGGCGCCCTCCGTGGAAAGGACTGACTCTGTGGCCATGCAGTGGGTCTGAGGGCCCCTGCTCTCCCACCCCACCTGCAGGGGCTTCAGTGGGGGAGCCCTAGGGCAAAGGGTGAGTGGGTCCTCTGCCGGGCCTCCTGCATTTTGGAGCCTCCGCCTGGTGGCTGCGGGAGAGAACTGAGTCAGCTAAGATGGGTGCAGAGCAGACCCCAGGGATAAGGAGCCATCCACCTCCTGACTGTGGGCACTCACAGCATGTCAGACCTCACTTCTACAGTCACCCCGGGGACCCCTGCCCTCCACTGTGCTATGTCTAGCTTATAGACCAAGAAGCACCTGTCATTGACATGTGAGCCCAACCCTGCCGCTGTTTAGACCTTCCCCGTCTTTTCTTGTGGGTCCCCTGAAACAACACCTGCCTCCCATGCTAAGCCTGGACAGAAACCAGCACCAGCCCCACTTGGACATCCTCACAACATGTCCCCTAAAGCCCCGGGAGCGTCCCCAGCAAGCAAGTGCTGGCCTGGGGGTAGGGGTGTCACCAACTGGTCCTTCCTCTACAGAGTTACAGGAAGCTGCAATGAAGCATTCAAGTTGGGCCCATAGGGCCTCCGATACAGTATGTGCATGAGGGAGGGAGAAGAGCGAGGAGCACCCTTCGCGGGGTCTGGTCATGCCACAATCCCCTTCCTCCAGGCCCCAGCCCGCAGGATCCTGGGCACATATGTGCATGCCGGTGTGTTTTCAAGCTGACCAGGCCAGGGACTTGAACCACGGTCAGCTTGTGGCTTCCAGTTCTGCAGTCCAGTTCACCACCAGCTGTGCCACAGAGGCTGGGCAACAACCCTGACTTCTGAGGCAGGCCTCACCCAGTGGGGGCTCCATTAAAAGACAGTTATTACTAAGCGCACTTCCTGCCCAAGCGTTTCAAGAGTTCAGAGTGGACAGCTGAACAGGAGGCAGTGGGAAGGGTGGGAGCCCGCACACAGTGTGGCCAGTCTCGCCACACGTCCCTGGAGAGGGCGCTTCATTCGCACAGGAAACTAAGGCAGTGCCTTCCTCCTGTGATCAGAGAGGAGCTTCCTCCTGTGATAGAAGCTGGGCTGGGGGACCGAGGTGGCCTCTGGCCCCCACAGCCTGGGGAGTACTCGAGGGTTCTTGGCACTTGGTTTTCAGCTAAGGGCTCACTTGAAAATGGAACACCTTTGCTTGGCCTCTCAGTGTGAGCGTGGCCCTGCCGGACGCTGGCAGGACCTGGCAGTCCTGAGGACCAGACAGCACGGGTTCATCTGGGAACTTGTCACCTGTGCCGTGGGGAGGCCCCTCAGAAGTACCTGGGGGCAGAGCAGGATCAGCAGGGGTGGCCCAGCTGCTGGGCCCCTGCTCTCAGTTCTAGAGCCTGTGCTGATTTTTCCAGAGGAACAGGGGGACCAAGCCCTCTTCTATCAGCTGCCCCACGCTGGCCCCCCAGCCATGTCCCTCTGTCCTCACCTGAGGAAAAGAAAGATGGTTCTTGATGCCTTGGTCTGGTGGCTCTTGGGGACCTGGCGTTCCAAGTGAGCCCCGAGGACCTCCAGTAGCCCCGGGTGCAGCTTTTCAGCCTCATCGAAGATGAACAGGGTCTGGTGGCAACGCTGCCGTGTCTCCTGGATCTGGGCTGCCAGCCGCTCCTGCAGGACACAGTTAGCTGCTGAGAACTGGGGGCACGTCCTGTCTCCCCGGGACATCTGCAGTGGATCCCTAAACCACCAAGTTCAAATCCCCGGCTGTGGGGCTGGGTTGTGGCACCTAGCAGGCTTTCTGGGTGCTTCTCTTGAGGTTCCAGAACCACAGGAGGTGGAGTAGCCTGGGCAGAGGGAGGCCTGGACAGCATGGGGCCCAGCTCTCATGCCCTGGGACCAGGCCCAGCTCCTGCCCTGCTCCCTCTCTCCAGGACGAAGCCCCATCCCACATAGGAGTCGGGGGGTAGGGGGCAGAGGGAGGGCTCAGTACCCAGAAGCAGTCTTGCCCTGAACTCCCGGGGCAGGGCACCCACTGGCACCCAGGCTGGGCCAAGATCTCAGAACAAGCCTATGGAGACTGGTCCTGGGCCTAGACAACCTCCACAACGGAGCTCCCATAGGAGGCCACGTTGGATTTCCCACCCCAGGCAAGACAGTAAACCCTCAATGGAAAAGACGCTTCTGGTGGCCATGCTGTGCAGCCTAATGCAGTGCTCAGGTATGCCGGGGTGTACACCTACCCAGGGTCCTGGCTGGCGACACTCAGGTGGGTCCCAGCATGGGGGGGCCCTGTTGGGGATACGTGTCTGCCTGTCTCTCTCATGAAAGAAAACAAGTAAATAATAATAATAAAAATATTTAAAGACGCTGCTTTACAGTGATCACTGGGATAACTAGGCAAAAACACATTACTTGGGGAGGGGGGCAGCAGTTAGCGTAATGGCAATATCACTGGATTCCCATGTAGTCAACCACGGTTCGAGTCCTGGATCTGGTGGCTTAAACTCACACCAGGCGCGTGCCCAAGATCCTGAGAGGAGAATGGAGGAGAAGGGATTGTGGTGTGGCCATCCTCCCTGGGGGGTGATTTCTCACTTTCTTTTTTCTTTTTTTTTTTTCATAGAGGTCAGCAAATTTCTTTTTTCCCTCTTTTTAAAAACTTTTTGCCAGAGAGCATGTGCAATCATTGAAGAGAGACAGAGAGAGGGAGGGCAAGAGAAAGAAAGGAAAAGTGAGAAAGCATCCCCATGGGAGATGGTCACACTGCAACCCCTTCTTCTCTGGTTCTCCTCTCTTTCAGGATTTTGGGCAAGCACACACACACATGCCCTGCATGTTTCTCAAGCCACTGGGTCCAGGACTCGATCGGTGCAGTCAGCCATCTGGGATCCAGCCGCCTTAACCACCATGCCCAGCAAGTGTTTTCTGGGCTTCTTCCTCTTCAGTAAAGTCATTTTTGATATTGAAAGTCTTGCCAATCTCCTCAGGAGTTTTTCCCTTGATCATATTGGCAACAGTCTTGCGTGTAATATCAAGCAAACCTTTGATGTCCAAGTAGTTTGCAGCCAGGATAAGCTCAAAAAGTGTCCCTTGGTCAACCTTCAGAAATTCTTGGTCCCAAACAGGAATGCTGTCTGTTCGCTTCTCTTGTTCTCATCTTCAGGAGGGGGAGAGCCATCCTCGTGGTGGGTACACCACTGAATGACCTTTTTTAATACTGCTGCATTAACATTTGGTAGAGGAACTGGGTCTTCGTCTCCTTCATCATCTATTCCCAAATCTTCCAACACGGTCTTGATAGTCACAGATTGTTTGGCTATTTCCACATCAACTTCAAATATATCTCCATCAGAACCCTGCAACTTAATTGAAGGCATGGTGCCCGGTCTCAGGGAGACGGCTGCCCGGACGCTGACAAGAGCGGAGCAGGGTTGGCAAACAAGAGAAAGGAGGAGAACAAGGCCACACCCTCACTTTCTATCTCTCAGTCTCTCTGTCTTTCTGGTGAGTGCACGCACCTATAGCAAAAACCTCTCTAAAAATAAAAAAAGTAAAAAAAACCCATTACTTGGGGCAGCTTCCACCCCAGAGCCCACACCCTGGCTGCCTAGCATGACCTCTGACTGCAGCCCCATCACGGGCGTGTGCGGGGATGTGTGTATGTGCGTGTGTGTGTACATGCCAATTTTCAGGGAAGCCAAGATCTACAGTGATTTTGTCACAGGCCAGATAGTTCATCCCGCCAAGGCCCAGCTGATGACAGCCTGCCCTTCGGACAGCTGGGGTTCAGGACAGTTCACTGCCCCCTGACCTCCAAGGCCTACTGAAACTCCAGGTGACTCAGGCACTCTGTCCTCCATGGCTTACATAATCTTCCCTGGTTAGCACACTTCAAATCCTACAACTGAAGGCCGAAGACAGGTGTGGCCGTCTCTGTCCTGCTGTGGGGGGTGGGTAGGGGGTTCACTTCTGGCTTATTTTAAATACTACAGGTCTGAATTGGAAGAAGCCCAAAAGAGCCCAATGGCAACGGACAGTCTGTCAATTTACTTGCTGGTCTATGAAGGAGCCCTCATGGAAAGACACGGGAAATCACTTACGTTATGCCTCTTTAACACAAGGCAGGACTCGTAACTCTGTCCAATGACAGCGACACAAAATAGCACCAAAGAATGTGTACAAGGGTGCTCGGTGCTGCAGCCAACAGGCTGTGTCCATGCGGGGAGATTAGGACCATGTTTTGCTCGTATCTATTTTTTTTTTTCTTTATTTTTTGTTATAGGATTGCCTGTGCTCGCCAGAGAAAGAAATCGCCCCCCGGGAGTACAGCCAGCACATGGCCTCCCTGTCCAAGCGCAGCGTCTGGCCTCTCAGCGTGGCTGGGTCGGAGCACAGGAGGGCTGTGCGGAACGCTGGTCTCCCCCGTGCTAGGCCCTGCTCCGTAGATGGATGGAGTAGGTGGCGTCTCTGTCTGGTACAGGTTCTGTCGCAATAGTCCCTGCCCCCCAACCTCCCCTAGGCCTCCCTGGAGGAGGCCCCACCGCAGCACACCCCACCAGCCTCACCTGGTACAGGTCCACATACTTGGGGTGAGGAAAGTGGAACGTGGCGATAAACATCTTGACGCAGTCGCTTCTCAGCCCGTCCCGATACAGGTTCTCCGCCAGCATCCGAGCCATGAAGTTCTTGCCTGTGCCAGACCAGCCGTGGAACGACAGAGCCAGGGCCCTGGCTGGCAGGGGCGTCTCTAGGTAGCCCCTCACGGTTCTCAGGACCAGCTCCCGGGCCAAATGCTGGCCGTGCAGCCGCACACTCAGGTCCGACTCTAAGCCTGGGGCAGGGAGAAGAGGCCATGGTGAGAGGCACACATGGGCACATGCCCTCCCGCACCCCCCACGGGCTTAGCAAGGCTAAGAGACTGCAGGTCTGCGAGTTGGGAACAGTTATTCATCTGGGAGGACGCCAGAGGGCAGACCTGGCAGCAGATGGGATGTGAGGGCTATTTTACAAAGAGCTTGAGCAATCAAGATGGCACCGAAGAGGCCAGGGAGTCACCTTTTCTGGAGATCCCAAAGACATCCAGATAGTGGGTGCAGATCCGCCTGCAGGAGGACCCCTGCCTCTGTGCTCCGAGGTTCTCCCATCCTTCAGTGTCCCCTAAAAGTCCCATTGTGTGCATTCTAATCCAGTGCAGCAGACTGACAGCCCCTCCGAGTGCCAAGGCCTCTGCTTGGCCTTCCTCTTCTCAAAAAGCCTTCCCGAGGCTGCAGGATGCACGGGGGCTACCATGAGCGCTGGTGCAGACAGGGGGTCTGTCTGTCAGCTGTGGGCAAGGGACTGGCCATCCCCAGTTCAGGAGCCCAGTTCAGGAGTTCTGGAGCCTTGGCAGGCTCTGCGTCGAACACCAGGGGCATCACACAGCTTTAGAAGCAGTAGTGTCAGAAAGGGACATCAACATTTGCTGCCGTTCCCTGTCCTCGGAACTGTGCTGTTCCGTGTTCATCTTCACCAACTCTGCGAGGCGGGGGTCATTACTCCCATTCGAAGCTGAGGAAGCTGAGAGCTGAGGCCACCAGGTGGGCCCAGGGGCCCAGTGCAGGCGTTTCTGATTCCCCAGCATGGTGGCTATCCAGCCCTGGTGGGATGAGGGCACAGGTGACATGCTAACTGATGGCCCAGGGTCTTCTCCCTTCCAGCACAAATCCAAATCCAGACCTCCTGACCTGTACGAAGTCCAACTCTGTACTGAGCCAGACCCTGTCCCAGGCTCACTGTGTCGTTGGCATTTGGCCAATCAAGTGACCTATTACCTAGAATGGACCTCAGTTATGGGGACTCCAAATACTGAGATCAGGTGAACTCCGGGCAAGAAACTGCTCTTGGGATGGGAACCAGCAGTTAGCGTAATGGCTATGTCGCTGGACTCCCACGTAGTTGACCCCAGTTTGCGTCCTGGACCCGGTAGCTTAGAACTCACGCTGGGGACATGTGTGCCCAAGATCCCGAGAGGAGAACGGAGGAGAAGGGATTGTGGCGTGACCATCCCCCCTGCAGGGTGATTTCTCGCTTTCTGTCTCTATGTCTCTGTCTGGCAAGCGCAAGTGCCCTATAGCAAAAACCTCTCCAAAAAAAAAGAAAAGAAAAGAAAAGAAACTGCTCTTGGGAAAAAGGGAGGAAACTTGCAAAGGGCCATATGGGTCTCTCATCAGAATAGGTTCATGGCGGGGGCTAAGGCTCCCTCTCTGAGAGGCAAAAATGCAAATCAAGTACCATATGCAAATCAAGCCACCTGAACTACAAATACACAGCCCGGAAGTGGATCAGAGGGTACAGTTGGCCAGTGGGCATGCAGACAGGCCGCCATGGGGTCCTTCGCCTATGTGAAGGCTAACATAACTTGGTTGGTCAGGAAGTCTCGATTTTTCTCAGGGTGTGGAGCACTGAGGCATTC